AAATGCATCTTTCAGCTCATTAAAACATGATATATGTCTCTCTCCCTCTCTTTCTATTATTTTTATTATTATTATTAACAAATTTAATAAACTCTCTATCTCTCCTCTCTCTTTCTCTCTCTCTCTCTCTCTATATATATATATATATATATGTGTGTGTGTGTGTGTGTATGTGTGTGTGTGTGTGTGTGTGTGTGTGGTTAGTGCGTTAGTGATAACACTATTTATGTTACCATGATCTCAAATAAGAACGTAAGATTGCCTTTCCTTGGAATCATCTGCTTGAAAAAATGAAAACAAATCACGGACTTCATGTGATACATTTCATAATAACGAGATCATTCCTCATGTCATTGTTATAATTGGGGGTAGGTCAATCATATCGACCGTTTTAACGATCTTCATTAAATATAAATTTGTATAACATATCAAATGTTTCCAATAAATTTTTGCTCGCCTAAAATGTTACACACATTTTCTGCATAATTTTATTGTTGTTTGTATGATTTTCATCACTTGCCTGGAATAATACATACATAAGCGTAACATTTAAATTCACATCATCTGAATTTGGCGTGGTTTTCATATAAGTTATGTAATTCATTTTAAACAGATTTATATAAAAGTATCATCATATGTATTGTTCATATCAACGAATCATATATTATATACATTCATATTAACAAATCACGTACCATGTTCATATCCAAAAACAATAAATATATGATATGTATTCATATCAACAAACCATATATGATAAATATTCATATAAACAAACCTTACATACATTTATATTAACAAACCACATATACATCTTGCTCATCTTTCACTTCGCAAAGTATCGCATTACCATTGTTTGCTTGAATGTCCTTTGAAAGGAACTTAAAATTTTTCCTGTTTGCTGTCCCTGTTTTATTTTATTTTTTATTGAGGTTTTCATTTAACTTTAATTAAAATTTTTATAAAATTTATTAACTGTTTCATGAACACTCAATCCAAAAATGCATGCACTCCTACTATCGAATAAAGATTTTTTTTATATAGTGTCATACGAAAGCAATAGCAAGCGTCTATATTCAAAAATGTGTATTTTAACCTCCAGATAAACTTCATAGTTACAAGGGAACTACGTATAAAAACACTCCATAGTAATTATTCAAATACATTTAAAATATAAGAGCGCTTTTCGTGATAGATAAATTTATTCTAAAAAAATTGTAAAAAAACAATTCAATCTGAAACAGCAAACACAAATTTTTTCAGCGTTTGAGAAGAAATTTGAAAAAAATTGTACTAAACAAACTTTTCAACAAAGCCAAAACAAAGCTTTCAGTCTTTGGAATAAAAAATAAACGAAACATCCCAGCCAAAAAAAAACAAAAAATAGGAAAGCAAATTTTAAAGAACGGAAAAGAAGAAGCATTAATTGTGGGATGATTTAATGCGGCGGCAGGCGTAACAATTCATCGCAGGCAGACATTTCAAAGAAAATGTTCCAGACCCAAATAATTATCTATTTATATCACGATGCAACAACATTCTTACAAAACAAAGCACATTTATGCAAATTAAGCATGAATTTATGAATAAATTATAAATTAATAAATAATAAATTATAAATAAATTTTATAAATAAATTTAATAAATCACTTAATTAAATTATTCCAAAAATAAAAAAATCTAATCAAATTAGATACAATTTTTTGGGACATGTATTTTAAAGACAGAAAAGGTATATGTATACTTGGTAAATGTATTTCAAGTGTTTATATTAGAGGAAAATATATTTGGTTTGTTATTTCTCTTATTGCATGAGTGAAGTTTTGAGCATTGATAATTGAAACCCCGTCGAATTAAATGAAATATAAAATTCTGTTTATTAGGCATAATATATGATTTTAGTGATAGATATTTGCATAATAAATGAAAATGCGCACTTCTAAATTGCAAAAATTAGTAGGCATACTGATTGGCAGCTCAACCGCGAAAACGTAAGAAGACCGGAGCATTTCTGAACAGATGGCAAACAGCTCAAAACGGAGTCCAATCATTAACAAATGTAGGAAATGTTTATCGAATTTATTATCAAATATAAATTCAACATGTCAATCAGCTCGACAGATCCCAGTTTTTTGCTAATGTCTGACGGAAACTTTGGAAGCAGAATTGAGATGAGAGAGTTTTGACATTTTCCACTATAATTTCCTCGCTAGCAGTCGTATCCTGAACTTTGAAACGCTCTATCAGAACACTCTGAAGTTTGAATTATGACCCTATTCCAAGCTAACATAAGAGTTTGTTAAGCACAATTTTGTTGGCCATTTTATATATGTAACTATATATATTTAAATATATTATATATCTGCATGTAAATATAAATATTATATATATGTGTGTGTTCGTGCTTGCGTATGTGTGTAAATATATATAATATTGGTAGGAAAAAAATACAGACGATGAAATTTGCAGACAACTTGAATGTGTTATAACTTCCATTTGTACGCACATGTGTGCAGATGTTTGTGCTGCGTGCATTCTTTAAACTAAGGCTTATTAATGAGCTGGTTAACGGGTTAAATGTGTTTGCAATTGTTCTTCTCCTCGAGGGTGGAGCTGCCTTGCAAGTTTTTTTTACTTCAAACCAGGCCAACCATATTTATCTTCATTATTATTTCACTTCTTTTCTTGTTTTTATTTTACTTGAATTACAATCGTAACATTTATGATGATGATGATAATAATAATAATAATAATAAACTAATATTGAAAGTGTTCGTGTCCCAACAAATGATGCAACTATATTATGAATATGATAACATTTTATGGCAAAGTTCAAATGAAGTTTGCAAAATCACTCATGGTATGAGCTGTTCTTTTGTATTTTTGCAAAATTTACATTTGAAATTTATCGAATTAGTTTATTATTATGTGGATGTGAGCATGAACATATGCAAACTACAAGATGTATCATTGTAATGATATATGTAACATTGTGTTTTTTTTAAATAAACTTCTGTTTTTAAAACAAATTATACGCAGCACTCTGCAAAGTACAACACAATACAGTATAAAATGAACAATGTGACGCTGAATATTATAATGCATAACACTTTCAAAAACAGACGCGTCAGTTTTAATGTTTCTTTAATCGGTTAATTAGACAGAACCAGATTTCGAGTAAAATTTCATTGAGAGTTTTTTGTGTTGTGTTTCACAGCTTTATTTGGCTCACCGTACAAGCATGTTAACTTTTTCATGAATAATAATAATTCATCAGCAGCGTTTGTGTGCGTTCAATCGAAATATCAATATTTTGTTTTTAAACCAGTTTTCTTATCGAAATATACATATTTTTGTGTTTTTATCAAAAATTGTTTTGTTTTTATTTTATTTATTATTAATAATTGTTTGATCAAGCGTTTTTATTGCAACCATCTATGATCACTTATTCCAAGCTCATTGGCAACTATGCACCTCCCATTGTGGTTTGTACCTCACAATGGTTTCACTTACTTTCCATAAAAAAAATTTAAACTGATCCAAATTTCAACAAATACTCCCCCATGCTTGCTTCAATGAAGTTCCAAATTTATTACGTCGCACAGCTGCATGAGCAAACATCCAGAGCACCCAAATAGCTTTTCCTGATTCAAATTTCCTCAAGCCGAGTCCCTTTTTGATATCATCGCGTTTTCTACCCTCAGAAAACATTGCCCTTCACACTTGAAAAATGCATGTAGGCACTTTTTAATAACGCACAAAAACAATGTTGATGGTCTTTGTTGAAAATTTTGGGTTTCCTATTTGGTTGTTAAAATATTAATTATTCCCACACGAATAGTTTTTAATTAATTACGTTTTGAAAGTGAATAGAAAGTAATTAATTTATAAGTAACATTATAAAAAAATTTGAATAATAATAACATATTTGTTTATTATTTCACAAATATTCAATTCATAACGTAAGGGTTGATTCAAAATCACCGCTCGTTTTCAATTGTTTAATCAAGCGTAAATACAAAAAGTCGCATTTTACGTAAAAAATGATAATTAAGGTCACTCTACGGAAAATAATATCACACGAACCGCAAATATTTAAAAATTAAACGCTAGAATAGCAACAAACAACAACCACACAACAACAAACAACAACAACACAACAGCAAACAACAACGCAACATCAACACAACCACACAACAACAAACAACAACCATAAAACAACACCAACAAAAAACAAGACACCATGAAATGAGATAAAAACCAGGTCTTTTAACCGAAAGATGATATGACCATTAAATTTTTACAACACATATGCATGCACATATACATACGTACGTATGTGTTGTGCGTGTATGTTTGTTGCGTGCGTGTGTGCGTGCGTGCGTGTGTGAGCTAACGTGTGCATTCATTATGTGGATGTGAGTACGAACGTGTAGAGGAGCGTTGTACCAGCAGGCACAAGTGGATGCATTGTTTTCGTTTCACATGTGTTCTTCAGTACGAACATGAATTAAAATATTTATAATAAATCTCATATAGTTTCTCATTCAAACGAATTATTTGTTTATTAGTTATCCGATTTAATTATAAAAGAGGAATAAAAATATAATTGAATCAAATCGATGTTTAACTCTCAATGGATCTTTGGGGTGCAATCTGCACCCCAAGGCAATTTTCATGGTTACTACATTTTTATTAATTAAACTACAGCAATTATGCTTTAGGACATTGTTAAGATACCATTTTTCTATCATTTCATGCTTTAAATTATGAAAAAAAATTTTGCGCTGATTTTTACCGAAATATTTTTATTGGGGGTGCATTTTGTACCCCTAATAAACCTTACTTAACATTTCAATATAATGAAAAAAAATTATTATTGCTAAGAAATTTTGTTAATTTTGATAAAATAATATTTTATTAACATTTGGCTATTAGTTGCACGTTTTTTGAATGTCAGTCATTTTGTTTTACTTGCATTTCATCTAACACGACGTGACATGGCTAGTTATTCAACAGCTGAAGCTCTTAGACTGATTATGCACGAAGATACAGAAAGTGATGAAGGCAATGTTACAGAATATGATGCCAATAGTGAAGATGGAGATTATTTGCTAGGATTAGGTGCCGATTCTGATACTGAAGATCATGTGTCTGAGGAATCTGATGAATCGGAAGATGCCATTACATCTGATGAAGAGCCGGTAAATCAACCTTCTACAACAGTGACTAAAAGAGGTAAAGATACAGCAAGTGAAAAAAGAGGAGGTAGAAGCAGATCATTTCGTGGACAGAACACGCACGGTACATCCGATTCAGCACAACCAACAGCTGTAGGTCAGTCTGTTGTTAGTATTAATACAATTGTGGATCGAACAGGCAGACCAAACCACCTGCAATCCACCGACGGCAAGTTCAGGACATAATTCGGCAACAACCCGTCACTTTTTCAATAAAAAAAGTGTTTCAATTGTATTTATCTCAAGAAATTCAGTCTGTAGTCATTAGAAAAACAAACAGAGAAACAGAACGGTGCTACGCCAAATGGAACTCTTCTTATCCAGATAAACAGAAGCGCTGGAAAGCGTTTGACTGGACCGTTTTGTTTTTTAACATGCTTGACTTAGCTGCCATTGCAAGTTTTGTGATCTAGATGTGCAACAACACTGATTGGAAAAAATCTTCTAAAGCTATACGTCGTCGCCAATTTATCATAAGTCTCGGGGAGTCTCTTGTTGAGCCACTAATTAGGAAACATTTGGACAATTCCGTTCGGCTCAGAAAGTCAATCATGGATGCAATCCAACTTCTAGAGTTGAACCTTGGAAAAAGAAGAATCAAGAGACCAACTAAAGAAAAGAGGACACAAGACGTTGTCATCTGTGCCCGCGCGAGTGTGACAGGAAAACTCGTATGTTCTGCGATGTGTGTTCCAGGCCCGCTTGTCCGGCACATTCTATAAACATTTCAAAAATACTTTGTGAAAGTTGTTCATAACAATCTTGTAAATTATTTAAAACTTAAATTTGAAAAAGAACATCATTTGCATTTGATTTTTAACAATTTAAAATTACAATATAGTTACAGTTTTACTTATATTAAGTTTGTGAGAGTCTCTCCTTACTAACATCTTTTTTAGTTGATCGTTTGAGAGAATATAATATGCATATTTTAGTTTTAAACCGTATTTTATCTTTATTTAAAAAAATTTGAGCTTGTTACAATTGTTTTACATACGAATATTGACTGGGGTGCAAATTGCAAATTACATTGAGGGTTAAAAACGCCGCCGACCCAATTTTTCATCTTCGACCAACTGTGCACGACAGACAGCACTTGTTTCCTTCATTTGTTTTTATATGGCGTAAAAAGCTTGTTGAAAAGAGGCTAAATCTTAAAGCACGCACACTCGCATAACTGAAACATTGATTTTTATTTGTTTTTTAATATTTAAAAAGGGTTTATCCACGAGAATGTATTGATAAATTTCATTCAAATAAAAAATTTTAAAAATGGACAGTAGAACGCAAAAAAGTGTTGGAAAATTTTAGGGTTGGGATTGGTATGAAAGAAATTTTGTTTTCTCTGCAGAATTCAATCTAATCTTAAGCTAGTCAAATGATGGACGAATGTTAGATTGAAATAATATTTGTAGGGCCTTCAACTTGCAACTTCAACATTTTCTATAAATCAAATTGAAAGGAGAAATATAATGCAAATTCAATTGCTTAAAAATTAAAATTTTACATTGAATTATTACGTGAAAAAGAATAACAACCATCATTAAATCAAATTTCCACTGTTGAAACTTGTCTACACACATCAGCATTCATTTAAAACATATTTTCTGACAAAAAGTAAAATTAAAATATGTCTGTGTAAGTGAAAATATGGTTTGGTAAACGTTTCAAATTGTTCAAACCTCCAATGACGGGACACTTTTTTAATGAACCAACAACGGCGACGACATTCAATAAGAACAACAACGTCGCAATCCAAACGGTAAATAATTCAAAAATACAACTCCACACAAGGTAAAATTTTAATAGCGTACGGGGATTTTGTAGCATGAGTTACATTTTCATCCACCTTTGCTTAAATATTAAAATCGGGAGACCAGGATTTTATGAGAGGGTGTTGTGAATTATACGTGCGTGCATATACATATATATATATATATATATATAACGTACGTGCAATAAATATGACAAATACGTACACACACATTCAATGCAAATATCATGATAATGCTTGGATGTATTTATTTATATAAACCCGACCATACGTGCTTATTAAAATTGATAAAATATTTGTAATTAATTTAATTTAATAGACTATGGAGAACGAAAAACTGAGCCAAGGTTTTTTGTGGCGTTCTTCCTTTCTGCAGACCCAGCACGAGGCCATCTTAAACCAAACCAATTTTGAAAACTTTTCATTCCAGTTGTCTCATTAAATTCTCACATCGTCACTTACCTCACGCACGTCATGAATCTTCCATCAGTTGGACAGATTCGCAGTCATTATCAATATATTATAAATATATATATTATATTGTAGTGGTTATCTTCTGAACCACTTTAAACCCCGTTAATAATAATAATACGTTAATTTTATTTATTTAATTTAAATTTTATGTCATTTATGTCAACGCGTGGAAATAATTATCAAATTTGAGGTAATCATGAAATCCGACCAACCTTGACAAACAGATTGTAGGCAGGATAATAATAGGGGTAATCATCCAATTTTTTATTTTAACATTTCATATTACTATTATAAGTTTTAATTAATTATTATAAATGAATTACAATAATGAACAAGAAGCGCATGAAGTTATTTTGAAATGAAACAAACACAGAAATTGGAATTCTACAGAATTGCGTTAAAACACGAACTGCCAAGTAACCAAATAAGAAATGAATAGGTCAACTCGACCACCACTTTGAAAACCTCAACTCCCGCTCGGTCGTTAAATCTTGCGAGAATTTCGTCTTAACAACTTTTATAGCATACCTAGTATATAAGACGGCCTGTGTATATATGCATGTACCTACATGTACGTACACGCATATATATATATACGTTCGCATATGCATTTATGTATATGAATTTTTACGTGCGTACATACATGTGGGTAAATAAATATATATAATAAACGTAATTAAATACTGTAATATATATTTATATATATATATATATATATATATATATATACACATTGCAACTAAAACCAAACTACCATTTGGTCTTTAGTTATTTTTGTTTACTTTTTAACAACAATAATAACAACAATAGTATTTATTTATATATATAATGTATAATATATAATGAAAATATTATTATATATATATATATATATATATATACATGATATACATGAATGATAATTTAATAACACCATCTGTATAGAAACTTGTATAACACACGCGATGTTCCATACTAATATTCTCAATGGATGGTTTGTTTGTTTTAAAAGTAATAAAGCATTGAAAATATAATACATGGTCCTGTCTAAACTGTGATAAAACAGTCAAAACTGTCACTCGTATATACAATGTTGTACACTTTTAGTAACACAGTTACAATGTATATGTATATTTGCTTACATTTATATGCTAATTTATTTCTTTATAGGTGTAAGGGTAGATATGTATGTATATATATATATATATATATATTTAGACATATTATTTATTTACTATATAATTACATATATATATATATATATATATATATAATATATATATATTTATATATGTATTAATATTTTATATATATATATATATATATATATATATATATGTAAAGTGGAGTCAAATTGCGTTGTTATGATGATGTGATGCTTTATAGATGGTTTGTTTGAAGTTATACTTGTAGGTAATGAAGAAATGAACACAGGTGGTGGGGCTGTCATGATGATGTTTCTCTCCTCGTTTTTATTTTCTTGTTCACGCTCTTTTTGGTCGGTTGTTGTTGTTAATGTTGTTTTATGTTGTTCATGTTGTGGTTGTTTTTTATGTTGTAGTTTTTGTTGTCAGTATTGTTTTTTGTTTTTTTTCTTGTTGTTGTTGATGTTTTTGTTTGTGTCCTCTCTTGTTACAATTATCATTTGATGCTATCAGTTGATGCTGAAAAATCGAAAGGTGAAATGAACGAGCGAAAGAGCCCGTAGAGCCCTCTGATAATAATCAGTGATGTGACTGATTGATTTGTTGCGAACATCAGGCTGGCGTCATCATTACAAAAATTACAATCGAAATTTGAATAAACTGTGAGATGCCAAGGCAATTGAGTTGTAATTTAATCCTGGCAGTTTTACGACTGAGCGTATCTCCAGATAGGCTGCATGCTCTGCATTACAAAAAGAAGTTGAATGAAACTATTTGAAAATTTGATGGGAATTTTTGTTGAAATGTTAAATAATTCGAATGTTTTAGTTAACGTTCGTTTGAACCTCTCGGCGAAATGTTTACCATCTCTCATCCACATGCCAGCGTTGTTCCACCCTTAATGAACGATTTTACTGTTTGAATTTCACAATTATTTGAAAGTATCTTTATAAATATCACATAATTATCATATGACAAATAATTATTTTACGATACAGCAGGAACGAGACGAAACGAAACGGCCCAGCGATGAGATGATGAATGAAGCACGGAGGATGCTTCATACATTATCGCAAACCGATTTCATGCATGATATGTTTAAAATGTTTGTTTGCCATCTGGTTTTGAGCGAACGAACGAAATAATTTGAAATTTTAATTGCAGGTTTGCAGAGATGATTAATGAACTCAACATGTTCATCTTTTTCGCTCGTGGTGTTATATTTAAACTTTTAGGTTTTTATTTTTTATACATTTGTATTTTGTCTTTAAAGTTTTTGATTTTTTTTTTATATAGTGTGGTAAGTTTCAAATAAATAACACACATCTTTCCAATGACCATCAACCATTCCATCAACAATCGCCTACGTGCCAGCCCTCGCGTACTTTCATTCATTCATTCATTCATTCATTCATTAATAATTCCGTTTTATCGTTTTTCATGCAGCCCACTCATTCACATTTACGCTTCTCTTTTAAACTGTAAACCTCGTAACTAATTATTATTACATATTTATGTATATATATATATATATATATATATATATATATATATATATACATATATAGGATTAATACTGTCAGAAATGCAACATTGATGAAAATCACAGCGTGTTCCGCGTTAGTTAGCTTCCTGTTGAATTTCTCAATTTTCCTAACGGTTGATCGTAAATCATTCTCAAGTTTCTTGAGTTCAAAACTTAATTTTCATTTATGTTATGCATGATAGAACAAAAAATCTTTTTTCGGTATTCCTATAACATCTTCGGTGTTCGAATTCATACGTTGTGCATGTGGCCAGATGCTCAGGTACAT